AAAGGGTTGTCAAGCATTGGAACAGGCTGTCGGGGGAAGTGGTGGAGTCACCATCCCTGAAGATGTGTAGCTGTGGTGCTTGGGGGCGTGGTTTAGTGGACTTGGCAGTGTTAGGTTTATAGCTGGACTCAATGATCTTAAAGGTCTTTTTCAACCTAAATGATTCTATGATTCTATGTTAAGTTACCAGGTATGGCTTAGCAGTTCCAAAAATAAAAGTTCTTAGTCTGTTCTAAGCCAGTAGAAGTTCTTAACTGGCTCACTGCTGCTGGTGAGGAGGAGAGGTTAGTTTAACCAACCCTACCTGAATTGGTTTTATTTACAGTGGTTGTGGTAATCCCTCGTATAACTTACTATCATTTTTCATAAAGAGATGGAAGTGTCACTTCACAAACTTGGATGCACGCACCCTCAACACACTTGCACGTACAGTATAGGATGTTTTGTGTATATATTGCTAATGGTAGTTTCCTTTTCATTATTATGCATAAGGGCTTTCTTTTATTTGCCTTCTTAGTTTGTGTCTTTTGAAGTGTGTGCTCTTCTTTTTTTCAGCATGCGCTGGATCTTCAGCTGGCAGTTGCTAATATCCTGCAATCTCTAGTGCACACAGAGAGAAACCAGCAAGTCATGTGCGAAGCTGGACTCCATGCACGACTTCTACAAAGATGCAGTGCTGCTCTGGCTGATGAGGACCACTCACTCCATCCGCCACTCCAAAGGATGTTTGAAAGGCTGGCCTCCCAGGCACTGCAGCCGATGGTGTTGAGGTCAGAAAGATCCCATTGAAGTCCAGTTGAGCTGAGCCGTGCTGCCTGCACTGTCGCTGGCTGGCTGTAAATGGCTCACATTGGTAGAGCACAGAAGTGACCTTGTGTGATAGTGATCACACAGGATCCCATTTTATTTCTCATCAAATTAGACTGTCAGCATTTAACCCTGGAGACGTTGGGAGTTGGCAAAAGAGAAGCATGGAGTGGGGAAATCTGTTCGGTGTTTTTTCGAAGTGATTGTAGTGAAGTTGAATGCTTGCTTTCTTCCTGCAAATCTTGAGAGGCTATCAAAAATGCCATTCCTTGCTAGATCTTCAGGAAGAGGAGACATGAGGATGGGTTCCTTGACTTTTCTGTGCAATGTTAAATACCTCAGATTGGAAAAGCTTCAGGCGAGCAGTTTTATTTCATGTTTGTGTGAAGGAAATACAGGAATGCGATAGAAGAGGTGTCTGGAAAAATCTGGGCATGCATAGCTTTAAAAAGTTGATCTTTCTGCATATTAATGCAAGTTAAGTTTGTATGTCTATGCTAGTACTAGAAAAGTAAGCTTGAAAAGTTCTGAGCGTATTTTGAACCATTTGTTAAATACTCACACAGTTATATGATGGTTTGGATTGCTTGCTAGATTCTGGGGAGACCTTCTTGTGGACTTTCAATATATAAAGGGGGCTTATAAGAACGATGGAGAGGGACTTATTACCAGGGTCTGTAGTGACAGGACTAGGGGCAAGGGTTTTAAACTGAAAGAATGTGGATTTAGATGGGACATAAAGAAGACATTTTTTACAATGAGGGTGGTGTCTCATTGAGGCCCAGAGAAGCTGTGGATGCCCCATCATTGGAAGTGTTCAAGGTCAGGTTGGATGGCACTTTGAGCAACCCAATATAAGTGAAAGATGTCCCAACCCACAGCAGAGGGTTTGGACTAGATGATGTTTGAAGGTCCCTTCCAACCCAAATCATCCTGTGATTCATTCTGCGATGTCAGCTGGAATAAGGAACTTAATTGTATTATCTCCTATGGATTGCTGACTGGCTGACCTGCAGCCAGGACAGCTGCTTGGTTCACTTCAGTGGTATGTAGCCATGTCAGAAATGATCCTGCAAGGAGCATGCTCGCTGGTAGTTGCATCACAGGGACTTAAGCTTCCTTAAGCATAGATACCGATAGCCTAGGTAGCTGTAGGTATGGATACTGTAGTTATCTATAGATATGGATGTTAGTAGCTGTGAAACGATCTCCCAGCCAAATAGGACACACGAGTAAAACAAAGCTGAGGTCACTTACCTCAGCCTGTGGTCTGCCTTTCCAGAGGAGTTCAACTTCCTGAATGTGCATCAGCGAGTGCTCTGATTCAGCAGCCTCCTGCCAAGTCTTTGGAACTAAGCGAAGGGAACTGGGAGCTTTATCAAAATCGTTTGATTAGTTAAAATAATGTCAACTTTTGACAGCATGTGCTCAAAACTTAATAGTTTCGAATAGATCAAATGTGTTTCTTGTAATTATGCATTAGTTTGTTTATTTTCTTAGTTAAAAGTTATGTTTACAACAAGTAATTACTGTCTTTTTAAAAAACGGTATTAGATTTGGTGCCATTCTGGGGAAATAAATAGACAAAATGATTTGTAAATTTTTTGTTCTCTTTCTTAGGGAATTTTTACGCTTGGGAAATCCTTTGAATTGCGGAGCTTGGGACAAAAAGCTGTTGAAACAGTACCGAGTACACAAACCCAGCTCACTGAGTTTTGAACCGGAAATGAGAAGTAGGTGCTGAAGTGCCAGAAATTTACATAAAGAACACTTCACTGACATCCCCCAATTGCATACTTACATAAAATTTGTAGATAAGCATCTGTAAAAACCTAACTTTGCCCCAGCTTTGTATGAATGTGGAATCATTAGAACAGTTTGATTGGAAAAAGTTCTAAAAGCAGAGGGAATGTAGTACTTGTATTTAAAATATATCCAGTGAGATAATTGTATTTTTTTTTCTTTTAGGAAGAGTAAATATTACATATGATAGTAGTTTGCTTTTAAGTCTTGAGTAGATGCTGAGTTTGTAGATATTTAACAGTAAAACGAAAAATATTTTTCTCTGATACTTTCATGTGCATTTCACATGTCATGAAATCTATGTAGTGTCTCTCATCGGTTCAGTAAGGTGTCAGATAAAATAACTGAAGTTCCTACACTTAAGCGTAATTCCATTTATTTCAGTTAGACCCAAGAACATTGCTCATCATCAGCATCACTAGTAATGAGAAAGAAATAGAAAGAAAAAGAAAAAAAAAAAGCACAGAAAAAAAATCTGGCAGAAACTCAATCCAATAATGTTTTCTGTTATAAAGAGGTAAAATTTGGAGCTGGAACACTCACTCTTAATTATTTAAAGTTCAGCAGTCCCTTTTTAACCATTCATTAATTTTTCATGGTAGATATTTACAATGATTTTACTCATTGCTCACTTTGAATATATTTGGTTTTCTAGCATATTAGAATCGAAATCTTTAATAGTATGTGGTAAGCATGTGTTGAATTGTGGGTGCATAGTAATTTAAAATTTTTCAAGAAAAAAGGACAGACTTATATCAGCTTTAAAAAAAAGTGGGGGGAGCACACACACCTACACAACATCATGACAGCTCAGTTTCAGTTTTAGTTCTGGAATTAACACTGTGGGGAGGTATTCACAATGTATTTTGATAGGATATTCACTAGATGTTCCTAGATTATAGATACACACATGTATGCATATGCAGTGGAAACTCGTTATACCTTTGTGTGGCATCCTGTCATGGAAGTTCATCCATCTAATAGAATACTTCATATTCTATCGGCTATTGCACGTCAGCTCCAATTTTCACATGGGACATTTACATCTGTTTTCCAGCCATTTAATGACTCAGTCTCATAAACTGCAGCGAATGTTTGTAACCGATGGATTCCTCCAGCTGATCCAAACCTCTCTTCCACATGCGCTCTTTCCTACTATTATCCTTCAGTTGTAGAGCTTGGGAATAGCTGTTCGTGTAGTATAGGAGAATGTCGGTAAATGGTAATACAAAGAAATTATTTATAAGTTTCCAAAGCATGTGATTTTTATTTCTACATGTCAGCTGAGTCGTTGTATGGCCAATTGTAACACATAGTTAAAAATACCTTAGTTGAAACATTTGAATTACTTAGAAAGAACTAGAAAGTATCCTGGATGGTACTGAATTAGGAACATTAAATAATGAAGTAAATTAACAAAATAAAATAACTGAATTTATGTTATGTTGTCAGGTTCAGTACACTTAAAAAGAGGAAAGATTCAACTTATCTCTCTGCAAGTGCTTTATTTATTTATTTACTTATTGATAGTAAAGCGTTATCATGGGGGAAAGTAAAGAATGAAAATTGCGAAAATGTGAGTCTGGAAAGTTTTTAACCTGAGAAGGCAAAGCTAGCTTCTGAATATCACAAGTTATGTTAAATTTTCTAAGTTAAGCTTACTGAGCCTTTCTGTTCATTGAGACCTCCTTTTAGCTCAGTTACTGCATCTGAAAAACATGAAGCAGAGTTTTTCCTGCCTGTTAAGTCAGCTGTCAGGAATATGTCTGAAACGGAGTCTCCAGGAAGGGGCACTTCCCCAGTGTTAGGTAATGAAGTGGCCTCTTGGCACAATTTTTTGGCTTTACCACAGACTTTCTGTAATACCTTGCACAAGATGCTCAACTCTGTGCCTCGGTTGAACATTTTTGTAAGGAGAGCAATACTTCCTAACTCGTGATCTTCTGAGAGGCTGCACTAGTCAATGACGATTGATAATTCAGCTATTGCATTGGAAGCAGTACTTGAGAAGTCCAGATAATAGCCTGAAAATGCCTCCCTTCTGCAATGCTGTGTTGTTTCTTGGCTTCTACTGTAGATAGCATGGTTACCTCAATGGAGGGTCTGGGTTCTGACAGCGTCTTCGGTGTGCATGAAGACAGCCACTATCGGATAAGCAAGAGCCTGCTCAAGCCAGCAGAAGGGAGCACAGTCCCCCTGACGAGAGTGAAGTGTTTGGTCTCCATGACAACACCACATGATATCAGGCTTCACGGATCATCAGTTACACCAGCATTCATTGAGTTTGACACGTCTCTTGAAGGGTTCGGGTAAGGTCCTACAGGGCTCTCAAATAACATGGGGCACAGTTCAGTGTTTTCTTACTTTCTTTTTCAAAGGAATATTTGTAATTTTTAATGGATTGTTTGCAAACCAGAAACCAATGAATTCTTTAAAGAAGAGAAAGGAATACTTCAAGCCACATAAATTTCAACTCTGTCATTCATTAATGCCTTGAAACCAAATGCTTGCTTGCCGTGTGAGCGTAAGTATGTATCTAAATGTTGGTAGTACCCCCAGTTCTGGATTTCACGTGCCTTTTAAAAGGAAGGAATGCCAAAGTACCCTTGCAGAAACCCATTAGTTGCTAGGATTTATGTGTGACATTTGGATGGTCCAAATGCTGTGAAACCCACTTAAAATTGCTGAAGAACTTGGAAATGCAGAAGTGGGTAAATTGGGAATACAAGTAAAGCAGAGAAGGCAGCTATGTGGAGTCCAAATAACTGCAAAAAAAATATTATTAACTGGAGGTGTAGTCTGAATATAATGCTTGTCTCATTTTTTTTCTTTTAGCACCCTGTATCACCTTCACTTACTGTTTTTCTCTCTCTAAATACCTAATGAGTGAAGCACTTTATGAGGATCATGTAATAGGATTTAACTTGACATTCAGAAGATGAAAACATGACCCTATTCTTAGCATCTGCTTAAGGAGAAAGTTTTGTCTTTTTGGTTATAAAAATATGATAGAAAAACTTCAAAATGCTCATTTTGTTCTGTGTTAAGGAGTAAATAACTCAAAAATTGCTATAAAAATTCAGACCAATAGAATAAGGAACAGGTATTCCTTAACTGCCTGCAGACTGGTCCATAGGCAGAGACTCACATATAGGCTGAAAGCCACTATCTCAGAGAGGGCAGTGTTGCAAGTACATGCAAGTCAAACAATTGTGAATGGCACCTTGAATGATAATTGTTCAGAATTTCCCAGAAGCTTGGTTAAAAGCTTAAAAACCTTGACTAGAAGCTTAATTTTAAAGGGTTTTAGTGACAGGAACTACCAAAACCAAAAACTGCCTTGAAGACAGAAAGAGGGTGACACTTTCTTGTATGAGATGAGTAGATCCTCAATGGTTTATTTTTTCAGTCTCTCTTTTTAAAAGAATTCTGAGAAGAGGTAGAAATGGCCTGTTGTGCCTGGCTGTACCACAGTTTCATAAAACCAGAAACAGCTCCACCTGATAGAATCATTCATCTTGTTTTTTTTCTTTCCAGACCTAGTATTATACTACTGTGTTTCTTAAATCTGTTTTTGTTCTGACATGGCCTCCAACAGAGCCACTTGCATCTTAGTGTGCTTGTTCCAGTTTATTTGGGTTTACTGGTCTGAGAGCAGAGTCCAGCCTGGATATCTGGGAACTCTGCTGCTCTGCACTCTCTTTCCAGCTTTCTGAAGCAAGGATGAAGTGCCCGTTTTACATCTAGCCTCCATATCCAATATAGTTAGGGACAGACTTTTCTTCGAAAACAAGTGGTGCTCAAAGCTCTGTTCTACATCCTTCATAAGAGAAAATAAAATGTTTTGGACCTAAGGAGAACTTGAAATAAGCTAGCAAAATGAATTGTCACTGTGGTTGCTCCAGCAGATTTGTAGGTGCTGGTAACATGTCCAAAAGTAATCCACATAATGCAGCTGTGACTTCTTGCAGTTTCAACAAGTGACCTAAGAAGGCTGCTATAATCAATTAAAAAAATATAAAACCTTTTTGTTCTGATTTAAATTTTCAAGGTGTTTCATGAACTCAACAGTTGGCAGACGCTTACAAGTTATCTGCTTTGAGAAAACATGCTTGTAACACCATTGACCATGGGGGATTCAGCCAGAGAAGAATATTTTCAAGTAGGAAGTAGTATATAATGAAATCTGTAATGAAAAGTAGTGACCAGAATCACAGACTGCTGTTGCTTTCAAGATGGGTTGCCAAGTTAACTCTTTGTAGCTTACGTGAGAACAAAGTAACTCCTAGCTCTATCAGGCAACTCAGCTGCAGTATACTTGAACTAGCCGGCTCGAGTGTAAGTGTCAGCAAAATTATGATTCTTCAACAAATGGAAGAGCCATCATTTTGTCTTCAGTAGGACAGTCTATATAAACTGGAAGCTCAACTCCTGTGGGGATTCACTCCACCTTGGGTAAGCTGGTCACTGAAACTGTCTGGGCTCTTAGAATCTTTTAACACCTAAGGGAGGTACCCCTTATATCTGTTTCCATTGTGTCCACAACATAGGTGGCTCTTCTAAGGACCGAACATAGCTAATTTGACAAAATGTTGTGTTACTGTGAGAGCATTCATACTTAAAGTAAGAACACTGGAGTATGCAATTACCAGATCTTTTAAATAGTTAGCTAATCCAGTCTCTTTGAGAGTCCAAGACATCTCAAAAGTCTGCAGCAAGTTATGGTTGCCCACAAGGGAGCATCTTATGCTATGGAGCTACGTGGGCATAAGCCTCTGCACCTTTGCACCAAAGACGTACACTGCCAAAGCGCTTTGTACTGGAGATAATTTAGCCTCACAGGGAGAAATCTTGAGAATTCATTTCTACTTTTTGTTTAAGTCAAAGAGAGTGATGGTGTGCTTATGGTATATTTTCCTAGACTATATTTTGTTTGTAGTGAATTCTGGTTGTATTGGCTTTCATGAACTCTAGTGTGTTACTGGTCTTCTGTTTAACAGCTGCCTATTCTTGCCAAGTTTGGCTCCCCATAATGCACCTACAAATAATGCTGTTACAACAGGACTTATTGATGGTGCGGTTGTCAGTGGAATTGGAACTGGTAAGTACTTGAGTATGACCATTAGCAATGTATTGTATCTGACGTTTAGTTCTCTTATATTTCCTTGTTAGCCATGAAGTGATACTGTGGTGTTGGACGTTGTACATCATAATTGAGAACTTCTTGTGTCTTTTTGTGTGTGTGCATGTTTCTGTTGCTTTTTGCCCCCAAGTCAGTCAAAAGCAATATAAAACACAAATGTGTGACTGCTTTAAAATACAAGACTTTCAGCAGAAGGTTAAGTTGTACTCGAGAAGCATATGACAAATGAACCTGGATGCATTAAGGTAGTAGTTCGAAGAGCATAGGAAAGGTGGAATGAATTGTAGAGCTGCACTTGTGGCTCTGGTCTGCTGAATTCTCGACAGAATTTATTACAGGTGTGGTTACACACAGCATCGCAAAAATCCTATCTAAATTGTTTTCTCTCTCTTATGCTTGTTCACTGTAGGCTGTTCACCCTACAGGAACCTGGTGTGCTGCAGGGCTAACTGAACGTGATCACTTCATTAAAAAAGCTGTTGAGTTTAAAAGCTAAGTTGAAGGTTTACTGCAGTAAGACAGAATTAGTGTTAGACGGTACTTGAAGTACTTGAGATGGAATGGAGTCAGGTGTATGTGGTGGAGAGATCTTCAAGGAAGGTTTCTTTCGTGCGTCACACCTATGGAAGAAGCATCTCGTAATGGTATTAGCAGTTTCTGAGGGCCTGATCCATTTCCAGGTTTTTTTGGTCTAGGAAACTTAAACTGGGTTGTTCTGAACAAGCACAGCTTCAGAGTTGATTTTTACTTTTAGAATAGGAGGGAATAGCATGAAATTTTTACTTTACTTTGTTTCAAAAGAAACCCCTCTGAGCTAGCTTTATGTGGCTTTTCCTCCAAGCTTGAGTCAGAAATGAAAGAAATAACATTAAAGTCCCTGAAGGAAAAGTTTGAGAAAGCACAGCTGGTATCAACTGAGCTAATATTAAAAAAGGAACAGGAACAAGTAGGTATCCTAAGTACTAGCTACTGCAGCTATATAACAGGCTTTCATTTTTATTTTTAGGTGAAAGATTTTTCCCGCCGCCATCTGGTTTAAGTTATTCAACTTGGTTTTGTATTGAACATTTTAGTACGCCTCCTAATAACCATCCTGTGAGACTTCTTACTGTAGTGCGGCGTGCAAACTCCTCGGAGCAGCATTATGTATGCCTTGCCATCATCCTCTCAGCAAAAGACCGGTCACTGATTGTCTCAACTAAGGAAGAATTGCTTCAAAATTATGGTAAGAGTTGTGTCGTCTCATCAACTAATCCTGACAATATGATTGGTGTGTGACAGCAAGTTTATTTTGAACCTAGTATCTAGAAGAATTGTGTGTGATGGAACTTTAATTGCAGCTTCATCAGTTCCTAATGGGCTTTGATAATGGAAAAATGCAAAATGTAAACATTCATGTAGAAATTAAGGGGCTTTTATAGTTTCCAAAGAAGATTCGATATCTGCATATAATGAACATTTTTTTCCAAAACCTCAAGTATTATAGATTTGAAGGAGGGATTATGTCGTTGGTTTTGGAAGGTTTTTGCCTTTTATTTATCTTGTATCATTCATTTTAGACATCATGAGGTGCAAATGTTAACTATCTTTGCTTTGAAGAACTTTGGAAATAGTAGACTAACAGGTTGTGAAGTCTTTTTCCATCTGGATAGTCCCGACGGCTATTTGAAGGCAATCAGTCATTCAGTTCATGTTTTAGGTTTGTAGCTTCGTTCGGTATCTGGGATCAAAGGTGGAATTACAGGAGGTGCATTGAAGATCTAAGTGAAGCTGGAGAGGCCAGTGAATTTGCTAGAGAGGGATATCGGTGCAGTCAGGGGCTTCAGGCTTAGTCATCTCCTGTTTCCTGCCATGTTCTTCATCGGAGCCTCCAAAAATGGTTGGTTTTGACAGGCTGTTTATGCACCACGGCTGTGGAGGAGCTGAGAGGAGCAGGGCAGCCTTCTGCATGTGTTTCAGGCTTAGCTGTTCACCAGACCAATACGCTGGGTTACAAGTGGTTATCAAAAATCTGTTACTCCTTCTGTTCTTTCCTTTTGAGTAGTAGGCACTAATAAAGAATTTATACAACTGTCATTATTAAAAAAAAAAAAAAAAAAACAAACAGCTAAGCAGACTGTTATAGAATATTCCTTATTTCCATGGTAAGCGGACTTTCCCATCATTAACTGCAGCAGTTTCTCTTAGTAGAAGTCGGGTTCAAAACCTAAAACTTGGGAGTTGTAGACCCATAGCATAAGGGAGGAGCTAAATCTCTTAAATTACAAAGATACTGACAGTATTTTCTTTCTCCAGAAGACCAAATTCTTATAAGAGAGACTTAAATAAGTTTATCTTCATATTATTTTATTTTGCCTGCACTGGAGCCATAGATCATATGGTTTTAGTTTGTTAAGCCCCTATTATCTAAGTCTTTAAAAGAGATTGGATTTGAAGAGGCTTTGTAAGAGAGGAACTGAAGGTCTCTGGCTACAAAGATTGGCTTTTAATTGAAGGGGATACTTTGCTTTACTGGAGTGCCATCCTGTCATAGCTAAGTCATAGTTGGTGGTGTACCATCAAGTGCTGAGCTGGTAAGTACGTGAAGAACTGAGATGGCAGGCCCACCAGCGCGGGGACTGGAAGTGCTGACAGTCTATTGTAAGAATAAGTGGGGTAGTTTAAGGATCCTGCTTGTGAGCGAGAATTGTGCTCAAAGGTGTTTGGCTGAGAAAAAGAACTTGAGATTATTTTTATATCTTAAAGTTAGTTCCAAGTACTCTGCTTTTATTATTTTCCTTGTGCTATTTCTAAAGAAATTAGTGTTCTCCCTGTGCAGACAGTCATTGAGGTAAGAGGATTAGTGGTTTCTTGTCCTTTAATGTGAAAGAATGAAGAGAGATCTGAAAAGCCCACATTTTCTGCTGAAGCATTCCCTAATGGAGAATTTTTGAGCTTTGTCTTTTTTTTGGGGGTGGGTGGGGGAGTGCTTTCAAGTACAATGTGGGTCATTCTGCCTTGCAATGGAGAAGCTAATGCACCTGGCAAGCTGATCATGTGTCTAGAAGGCAGGCATTCGTCTCCGACTCCTCTCCCTGTTGGTACAAGGGTGGCTGATGGATCTGCAGGTGCCTCACCCCATGGCAGCTGGTGCTCACACCAGGTCAGCGGCTTTACGACCCAGGTTCCACTGCTAATTCAGTGAAGGGAAGGCAAGGGTGACTCCCTGCAGTTACAGGACCGAAATGGAATGGACGAGCCATCATGAAGTCTTCGTTTTGACTTGGGCAGAAATGTCTAAGCCCTGAGCTACCCCTTCAGTAGCAGCTCTTCAGAAAATCAGTTTTCCTTAGAACTGCAAAAAGGGAAAAAGAGAAGCCACTGTGCTGAGGCTTGAGTTACGAGTACCCCTGGTCTGTGCTTGATGTGTGTCTCGCTAGCCAAATGTCGTATTTAAGACTTTTATTAAGGAAAAATGTCTTAGGCTCTCAATCTCATGTTTAACTTCACTTACGCTTTGTAATTTAGCATGATTCTGATGCAGACACTTTGAAAGGCAATCATTTTACTTGTATCTTCTTTTGTGTGTGACCTAATTGTTTAAGCGAGATAATGGCAAGCTTATACTGAGTGTCTGTGGCCAGGTGCTGGGGGCACAAGAGAGGGCTTCTGTGGGAAGAGGCCAGAGCTGCTCCATGACAGACATGTCTGGTTCTGGCCAGCTCTGCAGCAGACCCTCTTCAGGACACAACTGAGCCTGGCAGCTAGGCTGGTTGGCACCTCTGGGAAAACACATGTAAGAGAGGGTGAAACGCTGCATGGAGTGAGGAATAAGGGGGAAAAATGTGAGAAAAAGCACCCTGAAGACACAAAGGTGAGAGCAGAAAGAGGGGAAGGGGTGCTCCAGGCATCGGAGCAGGGATCCCGTGCAGCCCCTGCAAAGGACCACGCTGGAGCAGGTAGTGGGGCCTGTGGAGGAGACCACAGTGAAGCAGGGAGAAGTGAGAGGAGAAAGTCTGGGTCTTTCTCTCCACAGTGTGACAAAAATGAAAAATAGCTCTGTAGGTTTGGAGAGACGTCTGTGATTTCTTGCTGACTACTGCTGTAAAAACTTTTTAAGAAAAATGACAGAAGATCTTTCTGTGACTTGCATGGTGGCATGAGAAAGTTGGTAAAAAACTGAGCAAACTAGTAATTTCAGCTAAATTTTCAAAGGGAGGGTAGAAGGGAATAAGTAAAATGTAATTGTCAAAAGTATTGTGAGAATTTTCTTAGAGAAGAGTTAAGGCAAAGGAAGACGAGAAACCTGTTGTTGATACTACCAAAACTATACTAGTTTTTTAATGTGCAAATATTTAAGGATGTTCAGCCTGTCAAACTGACCTGACAATTTGGTCCAAATACTTTCCCAAAAATACTGATTTCATTCTTTCAGTTCTTGTATTTGAAAGTCTAAAGTCTTTGTTGTTAATCATATGACTTTGTTCATATATTGTTAATTGTATTTTTGTTAACTGTGTGCTTTCTAAAAATTTGGCTTTAATGTATTGCCGTAGATTGTTTTGCATAAAGTCTGATGAGGTATTTGTCTGTTTTAAGCTTCTTATAACATTTCTACTGGTGCCCACTAACTGGTACTTTTCCTTTAGTCGATGACTTCAGTGAGGAATCATCATTTTATGAAATTCTTCCCTGTTGTGCCCGTTTCCGCTGTGGTGACCTCATTGTGGAAGGCCAGTGGCATCACCTAGTTCTGGTCATGAGTAAAGGCATGCTAAAGAACAGCACAGCTGCGCTTTACCTTGATGGACAGCTTGTTAACACTGTTAAGGTAAAATAAACCTTTAAATTCTTGGTTTTACTGGTTGGAATGATTTCTCTGTCTCTGCGCATATATATGCGCAAAAACCCACGCCAAACAACAAAACAAACCAACACACTCATCACTCAAAAAAAAAAAAAAAAAAAAAGGCAACAACAAAACCCCCCCACAAAATCAGGAGCCTTGCAAAAAGGGGTCTTTGCTCCCTACACAGGTCAGAGCAAGCCTTAGTCCTGTTGAGAGAAGATAACAAATGCTTTCTCAGGCATGAGCAATAGTAACGCTAAAAAGCAAAGCAGACGTGTTGCACTGAATGTGAGGCAAGTGTGGTACCGCTACGCTGCTGACTAGATTAATTAGAAGGATCATAAAAAGCTGAAGACAGCTTATCCCAGGACCACGTAGCAGATCTAACTTCGAATAATAGGGAATTTAGAGTGAGACAGCTTTGCCAATTTATTCATGTTGTTACTTTCCCAACCTTCTTGCCACCCCAGAATAGCACCCTTTTATCAGTGATAGCCGTGGAGATGTCCAGTGTTGTTATCAGGAGATGTCCAGTGTTGTTATCAGGAGATGTCCAGTGTTGTTATTAGTTGATTGTAGATGAAACCCATTTAGTTGTAAAGGTCAATACATTGTTGTTAGGTGGAAGAAACTGGGAGGCCAAAAGCAGAGAGCAGTGAAGAGCACTGTGGACCTGTCCACCAAGCAAAAAGTATTCCTGACCTGTAACCAATAACCAAAGAGCATTTGGCACCTGGCAGGTGTGGGCCTTAAGGGACTAAGTGAAGCTGTGTGTGGGGTGTAAATTAGCTAGCATTACTGTACTGCTATAGGTAAAATAATATTTTGACTTTCAAAGCTTACCCTTCAGTATTCCTTCTGCAGAAAGAGGGCTACAGTAACTTTACTTGTTATGCTAAGAGCTGTAATAGGTGAGCATGTATCTGGCCATCTATCTGGCCATATATGACTCCATTCAATAGCTGGTAAAAGGGTTTTTGCAAGGTACATAGAAAATGCCTGTGAGTTTGTTATTATCATTGTATATAGGCCAGCATCCTGCTCATGTATTTGTTTTATTGCCATCTGAACGTCTTACCGAATTGAGTTCATCATGTTTGCACTTTAGCTCAAAACAGTCTAATTACCTAAGGCATGTTTTCACAGGCTTAAAAAGGACGAGAAAGGACGCAAGTTTATGAGATCGTGGTATTGCATTTGAAAAAATAACCGTCATAGAGCACCATGCTTTTAGAATCAGGATACAGCCTCGTTCTTTAGCATTTTTAAGCACAGAGCTCATATGTTTTGTGTCATCCTGTGTTTCTGTAAACACATTAATCTTTTGAAAGTCACTTCTGATCTTTGTATTTACCTTCTGGTTAATGTTATTCACTGACTTTTGCTGTATGGTGTCACAATACCATGCGTTACATAGCAATCATTTGATACATCCCCTGGTTTGCAAAATGCCTTCCCAAATTTCTGATCTTCCTGCTTTCTTTTGACAGTACCCATGCTCTGTCAATAACTTCACATGTTTTTCTCCCTTACAGCTTCACTATATTCATAGTAGTCCTAGTGGGTCTGGTTCTGCCAATCCTCCTGTAGTGAGCACTGTTTATGCCTACATCGGCACGCCACCCGCACAGCGTCAGCTCTCTTCGTTAGTGTGGCGTTTGGGCCCTACGCATTTCCTGGAGGAAGTCTTGCCTGCCCCAGGTATTAGCACCATTTATGAGCTGGGACCCAATTACGTCGGAAGCTTTCAAGCAGTCTATGTACCATGTAAGTACAATTCAAATGGCAGCTAGTAACTTGGCCCGGGTGCAGTGGAATCTTTTGCGTACATATCAGCAGAAGAGGTGAAAGGAGAGTATGCGGTAGCAGAGCAGGAAAGCTAGCTGTTCATAGGAAGAAAATTAGTAGCTGCTATTGAAGAGGATGATAGAAATCCAAATTACTGTTTTAACATACTTCTGGTAGTACTTGTACTGAGATGTAAGTGCTTGTATTCCTCACTTTGGTTTTAAACCAGTTAGAAATGCTTAAAGCTGTCATTATTCATACTGTATATTATATTTATCTGCAGAAGGTGAAATTGGAAAGGCATTTTAACTTGTCAGTTTCTAGTGATAGCACTCATTTGCAAATCTGCAATCTACTCTGTACTTTAAACACAGCTGTCTTGAAATGTCATTGTTTGTAGGGCCTAAATAGGTCAACTGAAAAAAAAAAAATCAGAGAGGGATTGTGGTGCTGCAGATAGTCTTTAAGCATTTGTTGCAAACAAATATGAGCAATTCAGGCCAGTCACTCTCACCTCTGTGGCTGGCAAGATCGTGGAGCGGATCCTCCTGGAAACTATGCTAGGGCACATGGAAAATAAGGAGGTGATTGGTGACGGCCAACATGGCTTCACTAAGGGCATATTGTGCCTGACAGATTTGGTGGCCTTCTATGATGGGGTTACAGCATTGGTGGATAAGGGAACAACAACTGAGGTGATCTACCTAGACTTGTGCAAAGCATTCAACACTGTCCCTCACAACATCCTTGTCTCTAAACTGGAGAGACATGGATTTGATGGATGGACCACTTGGTGGATCAGGAATTGCCTAGATGGTTACACACAGAGTCACAGTCACTGGTTCGATGTCACAGTGGAGACCAGTGATGAGTGGCATTCCTCAAGGGTCGATATTCAGATCAGTGCTTTTTAACATCTTTGTTGGCAACATGGACAGTGGGATTGAGTGCACCCTCAGCACATTTGCTGATGACACCAAGCTGTGTGGTGCAGGGGACACTCTGGAGGGAAGGGAAGCCATCCAGAGGGGCCTTGACAGGCTGGAAAGGTGGGCCCGTGTGAACCTCATGAAGTTCAAGAAGGCCAAGTGCAAGGTCCTGCACCTGAGTCTGGGCAATCCCAAGCACAGAGACAGGTTGGGTGGATGAGTGGATCAAGAGCAGCCCTGTGGAAAAGGACTTGGGGGTGCTGGTGGATGAAAAACTGAACATGAGCCAGCAACAAGCCAATCGCATCCTGAGCTGCATCAAAAGAAGTGTGGCCAGCAGGTCGAGGGAGGTGATTCTTCCCCCTCTACTCTGCTCTGGTGACACCCCACCTTCAGTGCTGTGTTCAACTCTGGGGCCTCCAGCACAAGAAAGACATGGACCTGCTCAAGTGTGTCCAGAGGAGGGCCACAAAGATGATCAGGGGGCTGGAGCACCTCCCCGATGAGGACAGGCTGAGAGAGCTGGGGTTGCTCAGCCTGGAGAAGAGAAGGCTCCGGGGAGACCTTATAGCAGCCTTCCAGTACTTAAAGGGGGCCTGCAGGAAAGGTGGGGAGGGACTTTATATCAGGGAGTGTTGTGATAGGAGAAGGGGTAATGGTTTTAAGCTGAAAGAGGGGAGATTTAATTAGATATTGGGAAGAAATTTTTCACTGTGATGGTGGTGAGATACTGGCACAGGTTGCCCAGATAAGCTGTGGCTGCCCCCTCCCTGACAGTGTTCAAGGCCAAGTTGGGTGGAGCTTTGAGCAACCTGGTCTAGCAGAAGGTATCCCTGCCCATGGTGGGGGTGTTAGAACTAGATGATCTTTAAGATCCCTTCCAACCCAAACCATTCCGTGATTCTATGAATTCTATTACTTTTTTTAAGTGTTCTTGTTTGAAATCGAGGGAATGCAACACAAAAATGTGAATAGCTATCATGGTTTAAGCCCACCCAGCCGGCAACAAAGCACCACACAACCACTTGCTCTCTCCTTCTGTCCCCCTCTTCAGTGGGATGGGGAGAAGACAATATAACCCAAAGGGTTATATAATGGGGGTCAAGACAGGACAGGGAGGGCTCACTCACCAGTTATGTTTGTAGCCAAAACCCAGACTCGACTTGTCGAACAACGTAAATTTAATTTAAACACCACCACTACCACCAATTTACCAATCAAATCAGAGTAGGATAGTAAGAAATACAAAAAGATCTTAAAAACACCTTCCCCCAACCCTTCACTTCTTCCTGGGCTTACCCAATCTCTCTGCCTCCTCCCCTTCAGTGATGCAGGGGGACAGGGAATAGGGGTTGCAGTCAGTTCATCACACATTGTTTCTGCCACTTCTTCCTTCTCAGGGAGAGGGGCCCTTGCAGTCCTCCTCTGCTCCAGTGTGGTGTCCCTCCCACGGGAAATAGTTCTCCAGAAACTTCTCCAATGTGAGATCTTCCCATAGGGCTGCAGCTCTTCACAAGCTACTCCAGCATGGGTCCCTTCCATGGGGAGCAGTCCTCCCAGCAACAGACTGCTCCAGTGCAGGCTTCCCTTGGAGTCACGGCCTTCTTCAGGTGCAGTCACCTGCTCCTGCGTGGGGTCCTGCACACTGCAGGTGGGCATCTGCTCCACCGTTAACCTCCATGGGCTGCAGGAGTCAGCCTGCCATCTCACCATGGGCTGCAGGGGAGTCTCTGCTCTGGTGTACCTCCCTCTGTCCTTCCTCACTGGCTTGGGTGTCTGCATGGTTGTTTCTCTCATATCCCTCTCTTCTCCACTCTCAAATCAAAAAGCTACTTGAGCAACAGGTTTTCCCTCCTTAGATCTCTTTATTCGTAGAGGCGTTGATTGGCTTAGCCTTGGCCAGAAGGGGGTCTGAATTGGAGCAGGGGGGAACTTCAAGAAACCTCTTAGAGGAGCCACCTCTGTAGCCCCCTCTGCTGATACCAAAACCCCTCAGACACAAACCCAACACAATAACCTTGTCAGAAATATGTGTCCATAGCCCTGTTTTTAAATATTCAGGTGACAGATTCTTCATTAGCTCTGGCAAGATGCACTGTCCCTAGCGAGATTTTGCTGTCCTGTAGAGCTCCCTGTGTTCCTGTGCGGTTTAGAGTACCTCCTCACTAACACCAGTATTATGTCGGAAGATGCTCTTTGCTTTACCTGCCTATCACAGGGCTTTTCAGTGAAACATAAATAAGAATGGGGAACGTACCAAGTCATCTTGTCCTTTCCCTGTCTCTCCCTGTGAGGACCATAATGCTCTCTAGTTCTTCTGGAGAGAAACTGTCACCATCTGAAGGAATGGAGGCAGCAAGTGATGAAAGTGGTAGGAAAATAAAAGTATGTGCAAGCAGTGCACAGAGTCTTAGTTTTCGTGGTGAAAGTTTTCCCTAGAGTGGTGACAGACAGCCCCACTCATCCTCAAATGTAGATGATGTTCAGGCTGTGAAAGAACAAAAAGTTATGAAAAAGGAGGTAGCTTTCCTTGCCCATCTTGAGTGAAAAACTTTAGGGAATTGAATTTTGTCATGTACAGATCAGTGTCACGCTTTCACAGACAAACCTAGCAAGCAACTCTGAATTTAGGTATCTGCTAGTCAATTATGATTTCTCCTGGAAGGTGTTTTGACTGGCAGTGTGCAAGTTTTAAGTACCAAATTAGCCGAAGTAAATTCTGTGAATGTGAATTTGTTCGTTCACTTTTGAGAACTGAAGATCTTCCTGCCTTTATGCTGAGGACATGTTCACCAGGAAGCCCACAGTAACTTAAAAGAATTCCTTGTTTCTTATCATACCAACTTTTTCCAGTGCAGCCCTAAATTTCTCCTGCACGAGCTTTGCTCAGTTCATTGTATTTCAGGAGCAGTCTGCTCCAGAACAAAGGGCGTGTTTCTATTTGGGGCTAAGCTTCTGTTCACATCGTGTGCACTGTGCCAGCCTAAGGAGACTTGAGAGGCGGTGCAGCATGAGCTCTCATTCTTACTATTTTATCTTAGCCCGTCTTTCCAAAATGCTTGTTTTTCCTTGATGTAATGGCTATTTGTGGGAGTGTTGGAGAAGGGAAGAGCTCTTGGAGTCTTGCACTGTTGTCTTTTACAGGGGAATCATGTCTGACTTGCCATTTGCCTATGCAATGCTGCCTTTGGAATTTTTGACCCTGTTTTCAGTGAGCAGGAAT